GTATAATTCGATGTTCTATTTCTCGTTCGTCTTTTCCACTACGGTCGAAGATGACGCCCAGGTATTTATATTCGTCACATGGATTTATTTTTTGATTGTCATCGATATCGAGTTGTTCTGCTTCAGATTCAATTGAGAGGTATTTTGTCTTTTCTAAATTGATATTTAATACCCTTTTCTGGTATTCTTCAATTAGTTTTCTAAGCATGTATTCTATGTCGTCTTTGTCATTTGAGATAACCACCTGATCATCTGCATACCCATTCCTTTGACTTTCCTTATCCATTGTTTCAGAGCTGCAGAGATATCAATCTTAAACAGAGTCGGGGAGATACAACATCCTTGTCTGAAACCCTTAGTAACTGCAAATTTTTCAGCTAAGAGGTTTTCGAATTTCATTTGGGAGTTTGAACCATAATATAGATCTTTGAGAGCATTAACCAATGTTTGATGTGCCCAGGACTTCCCATAGTTTATTTAGCGGGACTGTGTCATATGCCTTCTCAAGATCTACAAAAGTCATATGTAACTCTTTATTTGTCACAACTTTCTTTTCTATAATATATTTAAGATAGAAGATGTTATCTGTACATGAACGACCTGCTCTAAATCCTCCTTGTTCTTCGTCTTCAGACGATTGATAATCTTCCTCTATCAGGTCCCGTAGTATTCGACCGTATAGTCGACTCATTGAACTTGTGACCGATATCCCTCTATAGTTTTTTACAATTTCTCCTGTCACCTTTTTATATATTGGGGTCATATATGCTGTTTTCCATTCATCTGGTGTTGGATGTCCATTAATATATTCGTTAAATATCACCGTGATCATTCTGTGTAATTTCTCTGAGCCATTCTTTATTAATTCCGTAGTTACTCCCTCTGGTCTACTTGCTTTCCCATTCTTCATCAATGCTATAGCTTTTTGAACTATGTTGATATCTATGGTAATATGCTCTCCCAAAATTTCGATTCTTGATAAATTCATATCCTCTTTAAATTCGTCTCTGTTCTCATCTAATAGATGTTTGTAATCATGTGTCCAATCCGTCGTTCATACCTTCATCTATTCACTCTTTCTCATCCACCCATTCATCCATACTTAGTTTAATATTATTATTATTATTATCCAGATTTAGCCATACGGCTCACACTCCCTCTAAGAGGAAAATTCACTCATCCCAGATACCTACGGTATCAAAAGGATTGAACTCTGGGGGACTCTTACCGTGTTATCGAGCCCCAGGTGACTTGGTATGTTGGAGTATCTCCTAAAAATTACATGCATGGCCTTATGAAGATGGTCATTTACACCCAGCTGTTTTATATTCGCTAGGAGGTTTTTGGGAATAACACCAGCAGTAGATAGAACAATAGGTACTGCCTGGGTACTTTCCATTCTCCATTGTCTCTTAATTTGTATTTCAAGATTTCTATACTTGGCGATCTTTTCGTTGTATTAAACACGCCAATTGTTAGTGTTAGGTATGGCCACATCAATAAGTTCTGTTTGTCTGGTAAGTTTATTCACTAGTAAGACATCCAGTCTATTATGGGCCACTGGTTGGTCTGTGAGCACAGTGCGATCCCTATATAGCTTGCAGTTGTCATTTTCAAGCATTCTGTCAGGGACATATTGATAATAAGGAAGATGGTCGGTTTGGAGAAGTCCCAGTTGGGCTGGTTATTTAGTGGAGATATGTATGTTTGTCGTCTGAAACTTAAAACATGCTGGAATTGTGGTGTTGCTGTGCCTATTCTTAGTCCCTTAGACTCAATAAAAAACAGATATTTGTCAACAAGTTTACAGAAGTATATAGGAAAACAATTTTAAATTGAGTATGATCACCAGGTATAAAGGTTGGAGCAGAATAGAATACAATAGTTGTGAGGGTTACTAATCCCTAAATAAGGTTGCCAGTGTCGGAGTGATGGAGGTTAACAGGTACTAATGAATTTGCAAGAAATGTAAGATGTTTATTTTATTGGTTATATATAACCAATAAAAGTTTAATAAGTACCTACCTATTTGCAAAATAAAGTTTAATTCTTTAGATAAAATAAAACGTTTTATTTTATCTGAAATGAGTGCATTCCACGAAGTAAGGGTTTCAACAATCAAACATTTAATTCTTTAATTCCAGGAATCTACGACAGTAATTGACTAGATAATTACCTTCTAAACTTATTCCACAGAAAATGTGATAGTGGGTTTTTCCATTTTGTAGGAAGGTCCAAGTGGCGTATTCAAAATTTTAACAGTTCACTAAAAGTAGGTACTTCAGTTGCAAGGTGCAGTTTATTGTGTATACTAGTGTTATGGAAAATTTGGAAGTGCCGTGTAAACGCCGAAAAATTGGTCCTTTAACAGTTAATGAAAAAATATTAACATTTAATTGTTTTAAATCATTTACAGACAAACGTTTATGTGAACGTGTTGATGAGACCGTTGAGTTAGTTAGCAGTAGGTACACTTGGTGTTGGGAAATCTACGATTTACAGAGTTATTAAAGAAGAGAAATGTGGTAGTTTTCAAATGGCACGTAATGCTCCAGGGAAACCAAAATTTCAAATAGAATATCATTTTAAAGAAGGACTTCGACGGAAAGTGCATGAATTCTTCTTTAGACAAGAATTTCCAACATTGGATAAAGTTCTTGTCTCAGTTCGAGATGATAAGGATTACCCAGAAATGAGTCGGAGTACGTTATGGAAACTTTTAAAAGAAATAGGCTTCCGCTGGAAAAAGAATCCCAGAAAGTCTATTTTATTAGAAAGAAGCGATATTGTCATATGGAGAAGACATTTTCTAAGAACCATAAAGGAAATGAGAAACCAAAAAAGAAAAATATTTTATCTTGATGAAACATGGATCAACGAGGGTCATACACCAAATAAATTTTGGCAGGATGAAACTGTTACAAGTCAAAGGCACGCTTTTGTAAATAACTTATCTACTGGTTTAAACCCACCATCAGGAAAGGGACGCAGGCTGATAATAGTACACATTGGCAGTTCAGACGGTTTTGTTGAAGGTGGTTTATTAACTTTTGAATCAACTCGTACCGGTGACTACCATGAAGACATGAACGCTGATGTCTTTCAAGAATGGTTCGAACAAATGATAGATCTTCTTCCTAAGAACTGTGTAATAGTAATGGATAATGCAAGTTATCACTCCAGACTTATAGAAGGACTGCCCACAACCAAGTGGTTAAAAAAAGACTTGCAGAATTGGCTGTGTTCAAAAAATATTACGTACCATCCCGGATCTATAAGAAAGGAACTTTATTCGTTGTGTGCACTTCATAAAGAAAAATTTAAAAAATACGAAATTGATGAAATTGCCAAAAATCGTGGAATGACAGTACTTAGATCCCCACCATATCATTGTGTAATTAAACCCGATTGAACTGGTATGGGCACAGATAAAGAGTGAACTTTTAAGAAAAAATACCACTTTTAAAATTTATGATGTTAAACAGTTGTTTTTGGAGGCCGTAAATAATGTAAAACCTGAAAACTGGGAAAAGGCAGTAAATCACACTATTAAAGAAGAGGAAAAAATGTGGAAGCTGGACAATATTACTGATAAAATGATCGAGACTGTTATTACAAATCTTGGTTCTGAAAGTTCATCTTCTGAATCTGATTTGGATTTGTAACAAGTAGCTGTAAGTTTTATATTAATATTTTTATTCATCTATTTAACATACCTTAGACGGTTTTAAAAACTCTTTTTCTCTTTTGTAATTTTTAAAAATAAAAAAAAAAATGTGAATTTTTTAAAACCCTTTTTAATGTAGGCCAGTCAGTTCTAATATAGCGTGTGACAAAAGAGGTCACTTTTGTTTACATACACATAACACTTTATAACACTGAAATAATTCATTTATTTTTTACAATTATTCAAAGTAATTTTTCAATTAATCTTGAGCACGCCCATGGAGTGGTCGGAGGTACCAGTTAAAATTATGCTAATTACTCTCTCGTTCATAAAAATAAACTATAGTTTGGCATTTTCAATTGAATCAAAAATAATTGCTTGTTTTTTTGATGGAAATATATTGGATTGTGGTGTTTCATTGGTTACGGAAGACTAAGTACGTGATCCATTAAATTGCTTTGATGGGGAGCTGTTTGGTGTATTATTAGTTGTAGGAATTTCAGATTGAATAGAACTATTTATTTTTAATAATCATTTGTAATTGGAGTCCTGGTAAACAACCTACGTAGTCTGTAGTGGAAGAGGTTTGATATACCTGTCCGAGCTTTTGTAGTTTAAATGATTATAATCCGAAATAATATTTGATTTTAGTAAAAACTGTTATGATTAAAGTAACTTACTGTCTCTGTTGTATTGATTTTGGTATTACACTACTGGATCACTAATTAACGAAAAGATTTTTAGTCTTTCACTAGTTTTTAAATTAATTTTAAGAGCTCGATTTTAAAACACGTATTAGCTACTATCATAGTATAAAAAAGAAAAGAAATAGTATAAAAAAGAAATAGTATGGACACTCGACAGGCGGGAAAAAGTACGCGCATCATTTAGCGCAGGCCATATCGCCATATTGAAAACAGACCGAACGCTAGTGACACCCGACTGGTATTAATGTGACGTGTAGTCGAGTCATCTGTCGTGATTTGTTTGTTTATATCTTTATCGTCGAGTTTTATTTTTCGTTTAATTAAGTCTAAAAAAACTTGGGGATATTAATTTCATTTTAAAATTATTTTTATAAAAATTTAGTTTATGTAATTTAATAATTGTTTAACAATATTTAATAATTATTTAATATTTAGTTTTAGTATTTATGTTATGGTTAGGATATTTTATGTTGTTAATTGTTTTGTAAAAAATGGAAACATCCCGTTAATAAATAAATAAATACTAATTCTAGTTTTATTCGCCAAAAAATAAGGTAATTGATATTTCCAGTTAGGAAAATGGTAACCTTTACAACTGAACATAAAATTCAAATTATTAAATGATATTATTCTGGAAGTAGGGCCAACGATGTAACCGCTACGTTTTCGTTTTCATTCGAAAGCCCTGTACCATCAAAATCTGCAATTCACAACATTATTTTTAAATTTGAAAATTAACCAGCTCGTGCAATTAATGAAGAACAGGAACAGCCTAAAACTGCCGTAAGTAGTCTAACTGAAATTAATTTTCCTTGTAACAGCACGTTCTAATTTCAAAAGAAACTGGTATTACTGCTAGAACTGTATGAAATACTTTAAAAAGAAACAAGTACCATTGCTATTAAAAAAAATCTTAAATTCACAACCACTCTACTAGAAACTGTAGTAAATGCAATTTAAAAAGGCAGGTAAAAAACTTATAATAAAAAAGATAGCCCCGGCTGTATTTTATGTAATTTAACATATAACAAGAAAAAATGCATATGTTCTTTATAAAAGCGCAAATAGTCAATGTTCTTTGTCTCAAAAACATTTCACGATATTACTCGGTTAAAGTCTTTTAAATGAACATCTGAAAAGAAGAAAAGATATGAAACAGCTCTCTAATAATGATTTAAAAACCACAATGATAAAAATTCTTGGAACAGATCAAGACAAGAGTTCAAGAAACCCAACTGAGGAACTTTCAAATCGACAACCTGCTAAGCAAACAAGACGTCATTTTTGTCCGAAACATAAAGACATGAAATCATGTGATGACTGTAAGAGAGCAAATTGTAAGGAACGTAGTATCACCCTAAACTTTTGTCAAGATTGTTTTAGAAATTAAGATATCGGAAAAAATAAGAGGGAGTGAATGAAGACGTATTCACTCCCTCTTATTTTTTCCGATATCATTTTTACTTGTTAAAGTTTTTTGTAAGTTTACTTTTGTTAAATTATTGTTGTAAAGTTAACAGTAAGTCTATTTAAATTAGTTTACACACAAAATTGCCTCCCGAAATAATTTGTTGTTTTGGAATATAAGTTTTTCAGTTTCTTATTTGGCTATGATAGAAAAGATTTATTTTTATATAAAATAAATAAAACATTTTGATAATATTAATTAAATTAAATTAAATTAATATATTGTCGATTGTAATTAATTCAAATTAACTTGTTTACTATCTTTGAAATAATATAAACACGTCTTTGTTCTAACCACTTGTGCCAGTCCGTAACTGATCTAGTCTGTTTTCAATATGGCGTCTGGATACTTTTATACTTCAAAGGCGCCGACTAAGAGTGTCCTAACTGTTTGTGGTTAAACTGTGCTATGTTCAAAGTAGAATTCAATAATTCGAATAGGATTTTGATTTTATTATTTTTCACTATTAACACGTTCCGAATTGAAGAAATAATTGTTTAAATATTTAAACTTTTAGGAGAAACTTTGAAATGCGTCTAAACACTTAAACAGTTTATGCTATTTATAAACTCTTGAACTTTTTAATTTAATGGTACATGTTTATATTAACAAATTTTCTTTTGTTTCAGGCGTAGGTATAACATTTTGTTATATTTCAGTTGTCGAAAATTTATGTCATTAAATACGAAACATAAATGACCTCTTAGGCTGGATCGCCAATCAGTGACCCACTTACTGTTGTCGTGATTCTCCTATATATTAGGTGACCATTGTGCATAGTGCATAATTTTCAGTCTAAACCGGACTCTAGCCCTTCATTGTACAGTTGACAACCCAAATTGCAGCCCTGCTTTCTGCGATACAATAGATAATAATTTATTCTACCGACTGTAACAGTGTAAACAGTATACTGCACTATTTTAATCCAATATAAAAACCGGAATTGCAAAATGTTTTTCTCTTCCATAAATCACAATTGCATATTAAGCATTTTGTAATGTTTTTCAAACGGTTAGGCCCTAGGTATATGCTCGTCATGCAATTTTATCCTAATTTGTCGTGTTTATTTTGTAAAATTTTATTTACAATAACCAAAAATTGAAGTAGAAATTCTGAACATTAATGTATATTGTCGTTGTATCAGATGAGAAGAAAGTTTACGAGAGTTTATGCCGATGATATATGAGGAGCAGACTTTCAAATCGCACTTTGTCCATATTTTCACTTTTTGACTTAGAGGTGGCGTTGGATTAGTCAAAACATCATTTATTAATTTACATACTCCTAGATATTCTATACGTAATATTTCACGTATATTTTTGGCTTCAAAAATCACTTAGACAAACAAAACGCATTTTGTCCAGTAGCGAGAGACAAACAAATAGCGCTATTTTGCTTGCATTGCTTTTTTACTATTTAACGATTTTATTTTGCTCTGAGACGTTGATTTAGGAATCAACAGTATCTGATATTATTCGTGCTTAATAGGTTGTTTTTATAATAATAATAGGTGATAATAGTATTAAAATGAGTGAAGGTGAGCATATTGTAGGTGATGCAAATAGAGGAACGAGAAAAAGAAAAATAAATACTACGGCAAAAGAACGTAAGAGAGAAATAAGGTAAACTACAGGTTATGTTGTGTTTTTGTGGTTTAATTTGTTTTCTTTTAGATATTCAGATTTAGATCCAGAGTTATTGAATTTTAAAAATAATTGTGTTCACAAATCAAAAAAATTTGCATGTACAGATCTTTTATTGGCCGACATAAAAATTATTAGACAAAATTTCTATGATAATGAAGAAAAGAACAAAAATGCTCAGGATAACAAATTAGCACATATGATGAATATTAAGGAAATAAAAAGGCAAAGGAAGAGAAAGAATGGTAAATCACATGATTTTCACACAGAATTTTATGTAAGTTTTTATTTAAATAAACCAAGCTTTAGCATCAGTACATATTTATTTTTCGATTACACTTTGTAAGGTCTCTGATTGAGTATTTTTTAGGTTTGGCATAATAGCAAGAAAATATTTGTTTGCCAAAAATTATTTTCCTCTATTTTTAATTGTGGTCCAAGAAGAATTCATACGATAGTCAGAAAAAAGATGTTTGGCACTAGTATAAAAGACAATCGTGGTGGAGACAGAAAGTCCAAGAAAAATGCGCTTAAATTAGAAAGTGTCATGAAATTTATTTCGTCTTTGTAGGGCCATGAAAGCCACTATGGTAGAGGCAAGTCAAGAAGAATCTATTTGTCATCTGATTTAAATATAAAAAAGCTGTGGGAGATGTATAATGATCAGATTCCAGATAATTCACTCCAAACAAACTACAAGTACTTTAGTCAAATTTTCAGCAATAAGTTTAATATAGGTAGATATTATTAAAAAAAAATGTTTTTTATTTTTCACTAAGTTGCCCGTTTGTTTTAGCCTTTGAAAGTCCAGCTACTGATGTTTGTGGCTTTTGCATAAGAACAAACACTGAGATAAATACCACCAAGGATGAAGAGCAAAGATTAAAATTAAAAATGGATTTAACTATTCATAAGACGCTAGCAAATCAGTTTTTTAAATTAATGAAAAAGGAATCTGCTGATAGCGTGACATATTGCTTTGATCTTCAACAGGTCCAAAATCTTCCAAAGGCGCCTATTACGGAAGCATTCTATTCTCAGCAACTGGCTTTTTATACATTTTGTGTGACAGATATTTTAACAAAAACTCCTGTTTTTATGACATGAGCATGAAGCAGGAAGAGGTGTGGTAGAAATAAGTTCTGCGTTGACTGACTTTCTAAAAAAGACTGATTTTGTCCAGATATTAAACATTTAAGATTGTTTTCGGACGGATGTGGGGTCAAAATAAAAATTCCCACATGGTACATGCACTCACCTTGTGGCTTTTGAATAATGCCCCAAAAACTATTCAAACACTTACGATGACATTTCCCGTTCGTGGCCATTCGTTTATGCCAGCTGATCGAGTTTTTGGTCAAGTCGAGCTAGACTTACGTGCCCATGCTTTTATAAAGTCACCAGAAAAATATTATGAAATCTATTCTAAGAAAGGACAAGTGCGCAAGCTGGAATCTGATTGGACTTTGTATGGCATAAAACATGCAGCACTTTCACTCAAAAAAGTTATAGGTATCAGTGAAGCCAAAAGAATAATCATAACTCGAGGCAAACAAACTGCTGGGGAAAGTAAAATCTTGTATAAAACAGAGGTTTTATACAGAAATGATGACAATTCTAAAAAGTTTTCAAGTTTAGTTCAACCAAAGAAAAAACTAAGTGACATAGTACTGCCGGAATTGCCAACGAAGCATGCTGTTAAGAAGAAAAAACTGGATAGCTTATCAAAATTTTTAGTTAGTCTATCAGCAAAGAATGGCATTAGATCCAGAAGTAACTTGGTTAGATTCAATTTTGAAGGATCAGTATGGTGAAAATGTAATTGAAAAGGACCAGACCTGCGATCAATGTGAAGATGGTGAAGAATGCTGCTTCTGGAGGACGACATACATGTCATATGATTTTTTTTACTACAGATATTGCTTTACAAACACGAATTTTCAGTTCATATTTTGATTTTAATCACTTAGGAAAATAAAACCACATTTTGTCCTTCAAAGACAATCAAATGGCGTTTTTGTCCATCATTAAAATTTTTTTTGAAAAAACTAATAAAGCTTGTTGTTTCTCATAAATAGGGTAAGTTGATAATAAAAAATTACATTTTTTCATATTTTGTGTTTTAATTTTTAACTTTATTAATAATCGAGTAGCAGTTTTTCTCATTTCCTGAAAAAATTTTAAAAATGGACAAAGTGCGATATGAAAGTCTGCTCCTCATATAGTGTTAGTTATAAATATTTTTCTTCTTTCAGTAACCTGTTCGATTATCGAATATTGGCGATCATATTGGCAATAATAACTTTGTTTACGGCGGCTCTAAATAAATTAGCGGTGATTTCTTAATACCATTCTCGGAGATTTCGGAGCCAGGATGTTCTTCGTCGCCCTGGCCTCTCCTTTCGGGCGATCTTACCCTGTATTATGAGGTGTAGAAGGTTATACCTCTCTGGATGTCTCATTACATGACCGAAATATTGTAACTTTCAAATTTTTATCATTTTTGATACTGTGCTCTTTTTCATTCGATGTAAAACTATTTCATTTCTGATTCGATCAACCCAACATATCCGCAATACTCACATCTCA